GCACCCGCCCCCACACGCCCCTGGCTATGCCACCAGCACCACGCCAAGCTGGGCGTGGGCGGCAGCGCAGGCTGTAACCTGAGCGACCGGCTCCGGTGTCACCTGCGCCACAGGTGTCGGGTGGCACAGCCGGCACTGCCAGGAGCTGAGAGGGCTCAGCCGGGCGTGCACAGGTAAGAGGGGTGCAGCCCCCCAGGGTGGGCCGGGGAGGCATCGGGACACGGTGGGCTCGGGGCCACCCCGACCCCCTACCATGGCTCTCGCCACCCCACCGGGGACGGGAGCCCAGTGCACGGCCACGGCCGGGGCACTGGTGGAGGCCAGCGCCGCAAGGGAGAGGGGCACACGGGATGGGGGTCTTGGCAGAGCAGTGTGTGCCAGGCCTGTGCAGGGCTCGGGACCCCGTTGTGCTCGTCGTGCGTGGCCCTGGCTCGTTAGCACTTACCAGGGTAATGAGCGGCCCTGCCTGGGGGCTACAGAGCCAGACTGCCCTGGGGAGGTGCAGGTGTGTGCCAGCCCCGTGCCAGAGCGGTGCAGGCACCCCACGTAGCAGGGCTGAGCAGCACAGATCCTCGTGCCAGACTGGGGCTGGAGCTGGGGCTGCTGGAGTGGGAGCTGGGCTTGGCACAGTGCCCATGGCAGCCGGAGCAGGAAGCGCTGAGCTGGTGCTTGTTGACTTAGCTGGAGCTGGAGGCAGCAGCAAGCGCCTGGGCTCGCCATGCAAATGCCATGGGCAGAGGTGGCGCATGGGGAAATGCAAATAGTGGGGCCCCCAGCAGGGGAGTGGGGCCGTGCCACTGCGGCACCTCAAACCCGGGTGGTGGGCGCAGCCCCCTGCAGCACCGGCACTCGGCAGCACGACCTGCAAAGCTGCTGCGGTATGTGCCGGGGTGAGCCGAGGCTGCGCTGCCTGAGAGCCCTGTTCAGAGGGAGGTTTGGAACCGGGCCTCGGCCCTGCGGGGGATAAGCTCCCGGTAATCCACGGGGCCGGGGCTCGGCACTCCTGTTCCCAGGGGGTTATCCCAGGGGAGGCTCGGCCGTGCTCCTGGGCACAGGCTGTGGGGTCACAGTGCCAGGCACCGACAGTGCGTGCTGCCACGCTGGCGTGCAGCCCCCGGTACAGCCTCGTGCCGAGCAGACCCCCGGGGCATGTGCCTGCCGTCCCCCCAGCCTGGCATCTGCCGCATGGCCACCGCTGGCACGGCCCCACTCTGCCACAGCTCTGCCCCACAGCCACCCTGGGCACAGCTGGGCACGGCTGCACTGAGCTGCGCTCCCCGTTGCAGCTGGCATCGCGCGAGAGCAGCCCCGAGGGCCTGCGCCGGGCCGACTCCACCAGGCGGTCAAGGAATTTCGGCAAGCAGCCGAGCACCGGCGACTACTACAAGCACCTGGGGCACGGTACAGCTGAGCAGCCTGGTCCCCGGCGAATGGCGCACAGCGAGGAGGTGAGCCCCAGGCCCTGCGCCACGAGCCTGCATGTGGCTCAGCGGCATCGGCACCAGGCAACGCCTGCCTGTGCTCTCTTTCAGGCATCACCCATCTCAGCGGACACCATGCGCAATGGGGAGAGCAAGCCCGGCACCGAGCTGCC